TACTGTCTATTCATTTATTCTCAGTTTTGTTCTGTACATGTTGCCATTCTGTTCTGTCACTGTGTTCAATTTTTGTTACTGTGTTTCGTTCTGTTACTGTGTTCCATTCCATTTTGTTCCGTTCTGTTCCTGTGTTCCATTCTGTTATACTCTGTTCTGTTACTGTATTCTATTCTGTTTTGTCACTGTGTTCCATTCTTCTATACTCTGTTCTGTTGCTGTGTTCCATTCTGTTTTGTCACTGTGCTCCATTCTGTTACTGTGTTCCATTCTGTTATACTCTGTTCTGTTGCTATGTTCCATTCTGTTTTGTCACTGTGTTCCATTCTCCTATACTCTGTTCTGTTGCTGTGTTCCATTCTGTTTTGTCACTGTGCTCCATTCTGTTACTGTGTTCCATTCTGTTATACTCTGTTCTGTTGCTATGTTCCATTCTGTTTTGTCACTGTGTTCCATTCTCCTATACTCTGTTCTGTTGCTGTGTTCCATTCTGTTTTGTCACTGTGCTCCATTCTGTTACTGTGTTCCATTCTGTTATACTCTGTTCTGTTGCTATGTTCCATTCTGTTTTGTCACTGTGTTCCATTCTCCTATACTCTGTTCTGTTGCTATGTTCCATTCTGTTTTGTCACTGTGTTCCATTCTCCTATACTCTGTTCTGTTGCTGTGTTCCATTCTGTTTTGTCACTGTGCTCCATTCTGTTACTGTGTTCCATTCTGTTATACTCTGTTCTGTTGCTGTGTTCCATTCTGTTACTGTTCCATACTTTTACTGCGTTTCATTCTCTTCTGTTCTTTTACTATGTTCCATTCTGTTACTGTGTTCCATTCTCTTCTATTCTTTTACTCTGTTCCATTCTATTACTGTGTTCCATTCTTTTCTGTTCTGTTACTGTGTTCCATTCTGTCACTGTTCCATACTTTTTCAGTTCTGTTACTGTGTTCCATTCTGTTACTATGCTCTGTTGTGTTTTTTTACAGTTCTGCTCTGTTACTCTGTTCTGTTATTGTGTTCCATTCAATTTTGTTCCGTTTTGTTACTGTTCCATGCTGTTCTGTTACTGTGTTCTGTTCTGTTACTGTAATCTATTACATTTTGTTCCATTCTATTTTACTTTGTTCCTTTGTGTTCAGTTGCTTTTTTGTTTTATTGTGTTCTGTTCCATTCTACTCAGTTTGACTAGGTTGTATTCACCGATCTATAATAGAGAACTGAATTTCTCATGATTATATAAAAAAGCGAAGCCACCACGCTATTGAGAAGACAAATAATTTATATTATTATTGTTATTTTTTATTTATATTTAGTTTGATTTAGAGTAATTTGCATGGCTTTAGTTCACACTATTGGCAAAGAAGTTACTGTACAATATCCTCCAATTAAGTTATCTTCTGTAGCACTCAAGAGACTCTGACACTCTCTGTGTTTCTCTGTGTTAATCTGGTTCTGAGTCTCTGGCACTGTAATGAACTGTTGTCCCTATAATCACAGTGGTTTAGGCCTCTGTCTTGCGGTGGTTAGGCCCAGAGGCGGAGCTATGCGAGGGGGACCAGTCACTGTTAATTACTGTATTTACTGGAGCTTTAGTTTGGATGGACGTGCTCAGAGACCGAGCTCTATAGGAGGACTCAATCCAGGCTCAACTGGCATTTCTGTGTGGAGTTTGCATGTTCTCCCCGTGTTGGAGTGGGTTTCCTCTGGGTGCTCCGGTTTCCCCTCACAGTCCAAACACATGCGCAATAGGTGAATTAAATAAACTACATTGGCCATGGTGTGTGTGTGTGTGTGTGTGAATGTGAGTGTGTATGGGTGTCCCAGTACTGTGTTGCAGCTGGAAGGGCATCCTCTGTGTAAAACATATGCTTTATAACTTACTCTCTATTTCAGAGGTTGCCACAGTGGAATGAACCACCAACTATTCCGGCATATGTTTTACGTAGTGGATGCCCTTCCAGCCAACTACTGGGAAACACCCACACACACTCATACACACACACCCACACACACTCACACACACACACACACACACACACACACACCACACACACACACACACACACACACACACATACACACACACACACACACACACTCATAGACTACGGCCAATTTAGTTAATCTAATCCCATGTGTCTAATCCCAAGCACCCAGAGGAAACCCACACCAACACATGGAGAACATGCAAACTCCACACACAAATGACAACAAGCCCTGCTGAGGCTCGAACCAGTGATCTTCTTACTGTGAGGCGACAGTGCTAACCTATGAGCCATTATGCCACCATTTAATATCTATATGTCATTTTAATAATTGTTTTTTAAATGTTAGAACATCCTCACCTCTAATATTATTTATATTAAACCTTCAGGTTTTATGTAAATTATGCAGAAACCCTCATTTGCATGTCTGTAAAAATGACTGTAAAACAGGCCTGTCGTCACTTTGTTTCTATTGTCACCCTCGTTTCATTTCCATCCTCTTCTTATTGGTTGTAGGCTTAATAAACTCATGTCGTTTCTCTCTCACAGACCGACTTAAACACACTTCAATACAAAATAAAAGAGAAATGGTTCAAACACACACACACACACACACTAATTAAAGAGTGAACAGATGCCTCTATCACTGCTCTCTGTCAGACTGAAGCCACCACTGAGGAGCAGAAATTAATTAGTAAACTCTGCTGTCAGACACACACACACACACACACACACACACACACGCACACACACACACACACACACACGCACACACACACACACACACACACACACACATCATCACACTTTACATGCACATTCAAACACACACACACACACACACACACACACACACACACTCTCTCAGATATGTGCTCTCTCCCTGATGACATCACTTCCTATGTACAGGTACTACGGCCTGTCGGTGTGGTTTCCTGACGTGATTAAGCACCTGCAGGCGGATGAATACGCGTCACGCGTGAAGATACACACCAGCGAGAAGATCGAGGACTTCACCTTCAACTTCACCCTGGAGAACCAGATCCACCGCAACGGACTCTTCATCAACGACAGGTCAGAGCAGAGTGAGTGAGTGAGTGAGTGAGTGAGTGAGTCAATGTGTGAGTGTGTTCAACATGTGTGTTTTACATGTCTGTGAGTGTGTGTTTGTATGTTCAGTGTGTATGTGTGTGTGTTTGAGGGTATTTGTGTGTGCGTGTGTACATACTTTGTGTGTATGTGTTAGTCTGTGTGTTTGCGTTTCACGTGTGTGTTTGTGTGTGTGTGTGTGTGTGTGTGTGTGTGTGTGTGTGTTTGCGTTTGTGTGAGTGTATTGTATGTGTGTTTGTTCAGTATTTGTGTGTGTGAGGGTATTTGTGTGTGTACATACTTTGTGTGTATGTGTCTGTCTGTGTTCAACAGTGTGTGTGTGTGTGTGTGTGTGTGTGTG